CAAATTCTAAGAGCGGATTGCGAAACCAGACTTACAATTGGGTTCTTCGGGAGGATAGTCCTGGAAATTCTCAGCTTGAAGAATCTGCTTGAGGTGTTTCCACCTCCCTCGAGTTTGACCCTTTGGGTATTTTTCATACGACTGTATCTTCTTAAACCTCAATTGCATTGGAACCACTATATCTGCTTCCACCAACTCCGCCTCCATCTCTCTCTCTCTCTAAACTCTGGTCTGTTGTTGTTAGCCTGGAAGACGAAGCCGCCTTTATACGGTGTCGTTTTAAGTAATTGTACATAACCGGCCCGGTTCGGCATTTACTACATTGTAAACCGAATTGAAGAGTTTCTACTTTCTAGATCCATGCGTTTGATTTGATCATCATCTTCACCTGGATAGCAACTGAGAGAAGATTATCAGATCCGATTACGAGCTCTTCTTCAGGATTTCAATCCATTGTTTGCTCTTACGAGGAGCAAACTAATAACTGACTCGGAAGTTGGATTTTACCGATTTTGCTTGGAACAATTTCCTCGTAAGTTCGTGAAAATCACATTGCTTGCAATCTGAGATCTGGGTTTTTCCTTCTTCATTCGATTTCTCTCTGTAATTTCATAAATTCAATCAAGTTGGCCTCTTTCTTTTCGCTACTATAATGACCGTCCCGTTTGTTTTGCCTACAAATTAGCTGTATGAGGTCTAGAAATGGTATGTATGTGTCGGTGGTGACGAGAAGCCAAAGATTGCAGCGATGATGAGTGATTTTCAGCGATCACTTTCTGTGCGGTTGAGCCGCCGGGGAGAGAGGAGCAATCAAAACGCACTATCTAAAGGTCAGCTTCTTCTTTTTTTTGGCTTCTCAATTCTGTCTAAGTTTGGTCTTTTAGGTACAGTGGTTTTACACACGAGTATATGTTTTTGGGTTCCATATAATGCCATGAATTTATATGTTTTAATGAGTGATGGATTGTATCAGCCAAACATTTCTATATTTTGTCTTGTCTCAAATGTTACAGATGCTGAGGCTGGTTTCTTCTCTCCCACTAGACTGCATGCTGATTACGCTATGAAGAAAATTTGGAAGGCAGGCTTCATTCGGTTGCTTCTTGTTGGAGGCATTGTGTGGATGCTACTCATTCTTATTGCGCTGCTCTTTCATGTTTGGTCATGTCAATCTTCACTTTCATTCTTCTCAGGTATTCTCCAAGTTTTTACACATGTTTGGTCATGTCACTAGATACCATTTTTAAGTACTGCCAACAAATTTGATTATCGTGTAGTTCATCTTCTGCGTTAATTTGATGTTCTTGGTAATTTACTTGCAGCTATATGCAACAAAGAAGGCAGGCTGTATGTCATGTTAGACACAATTGGATTCGTACCAAAACCGCAGCACCGTAAGTTTTAAAAAGGCGATCTATTTAGCTTCTGCGAGTTCTAGAGTGACGCTTAATATTTTGATATTTTTGTAGGATGCCCCATTCCGGTAGTCTATGACCCTGATAAGGTGCTCATTCCGAGTGAAAAAACCGCAGATACAATAGTCAGAAATCTGACCTACATAACAGAGGATGAATCATCCAAGTCTCAGTTTCCTCTATTTGGCGGCAACATAAGCTGGTCTGAACGAGAAGAAAGCTTTAAACTCAAGCCTGAGATGAAGGTAAAAGGCTTGTTTTTAGGCGATGGCTAAACCCGCTTCTACCATTCTTGTCACTAATAACTTCCAAACTATTATTATTTAATCGCAACCCCAAACTTTTCAGGTCCATTGTGGATTCATGCCAGGTGGTGGTGCAGAAATGTCATCTCTGGATAAAGAACACGTAAAGAAATGTAGATTTGTGGTTGCAACAGGGATTTTCGATGCATATGATGAACCCCACCAGCCATCAAACATAAGTGAGCGTTCCAAGAATCTCTTTTGTTTCCTTATGGTGGTAGACGAGGTCTCTCTCGATTTCTTAAGAAAAAATACTACTGTGAGGAAAGATGTTGAAGGAGGCAAATGGGTTGGTATTTGGCGTCTGATTCTACTGAAAATTCCTCCATATGATGAACCTAGGAGGAACGGCAAAGTCCCAAAAATCTTAACTCACAGGCTATTCCCTGAAGCACAGTACAGCATTTGGATTGATGGGAAAATGGAGCTTATTGTTGATCCCTTGCTTATTCTAGAAAGGTACGAATACATTGGTTCATTAAATTTTAAAAGGAAGTAGCAAAGGATATAAGACACTATGCCTGTTAGATCAAAGTGATGTAGCCATATTATATACTTCTCCACAGTGTTCATTAGCACAGGACGGATATCCACTATCAGTCTCCGCGTTACCAAGAAAGTGCTAAAAGATGCATGTTTTGGTTTCATCTTGCTTTCAGGTATTTGTGGCGTGGGAAACATACATTTGCCATTGCTCAACACAAACATCACCGAAACATATATGAGGAAGCTGATGCGTGCAAGAGGAGAAAGCGATATGCCCGGCCTCTGGTTGATCTTCAAATGAAAATATATCGATACGAGGGATTGGAACCATGGAGCATCAAGAAGAGCACTGTTAGTGGTAAAGGCCATAGCAAAACATTAATGTCATCATGCGCCTTGTTAAGAATACTAAGCCTCTTGTCTTGCTTTACACAGATGTTCCAGAGGGAGCGGTGATAATAAGGGAGCACACTGCAATGAACAATCTGTTCAGCTGCCTGTGGTTCAACGAGGTACACCTGTTGACACCGAGGGACCAGCTAAGCTTTGGGTATGTAGTGGATAGACTAAAAGGAGCGTTCAAGCTGTTCATGTTCCAGAACTGTGAGTACAACTCTCTCTTTGAACTGCACCCTCACATCCGAGAGCATTCCTCGAAGATCGAGTGGGTGAAGAGTCTCAAGGAACTGAAAGGGAAAGGAGAGAGTTTGAAGGAGAGCCGAGGCGGCTTTGGGCTCTGGACTCCTTACCCTGGGGATCTTGATTCTGTTGAGCTACCAAAAGTAGTAAGAACTTCTAAAGCTGGTTGAGGCAGAAGCCATTTATACACTACGTTTTGCTGTTGTTTAATCGTTCTCTGCCGGTGGATTAAATTCCAAGTTTTCCAATTTATTATACGTACATTTTTTATTTTGAATCGTATTTGTAGATTGAAAACTCAGCCGCAAACCTCAAAATTGTTAAAGAAAAAGCAACATTAACATTAGTCTACTAACATAAAATTTAAAATTTTCAAAATTTATAGATGTTAGTCCACGATTTTCGAAAACTGGTACATTTTGATGTTATTACAAAAAAGCAAAAAAAGTGTCCGCAGTGAAAACTAAACTATGTCGAATAATATTTTCTCATTAAATTTCGTTTTTTAAATCTATGAAGGATTTGCTAATATGGAAGGAAATAATATATGAAAGATTTGCTAATTGCTAATATGGATCATGGATGGATCTCTAAAACGCTATAAACGTAATTAACTTGAAGTTATTAAACAGACTGATCGTTCTTATTTGAATGTTGGTTTCTCGTTCTGTTTCCCGTACAGGCAAATTTCTTTTATTAGATTATATATAACAACTTAGTTTGTTAGCTTGTTAAAGATTTAAGTTTCCTTTTGCTTAGTCGTTAATAGTCTATATATATGTGTAAAGACACTCTACTTTTTGGTTAATGAGAAAAATACTCTTTTACTCAACAGTTATTATCTTTAATTGCATGATAAGTTTAAAGTTTGGTAGCAATTAAATTGAGATCCAGTTTGGGTTTACATGGTGTCATTAATATATACTCTCTCCGTTTCAAAATATAAGTTGTTTCAGAGCTTTTTTTTTTATGTTTCAAAATATAAATTGTTTTGATAATAGAGAAATTTCATAAAATACCACTTTTCAAGTGCCATTTTTCAAAAATGTCACATTTTGAAATCTTTACAAAATGCCACTTTTTCAAAATTATTTTTTCTTTATATTATTTATGTTTAGGTTAATTATGTTCTAATTAAGGTTTAGTTACGAGGGTTTAGGGGTCAAAATATTTTTTGTGTTTAGAATTTTAAGATATAGGGTTTAAAAATCTATAATTCGTGGTATTTTTGCAATGAACACTTCTAAATGGCATTTTTGCAAATATGCATATAAAAAATGATATTTTTGCAATTTCTCCTTGATAATACTAGGTATTTTTTTAATTTTATTGACTATTGTGTGACCAATAATACTTTGCAGTCGTTTTTTTTATTGGTTAAATTATTTTATTATACATATAAGATAATATATTTTTTTTAAAAATAATTTTTTAATATTCATACTTTTAACCAAAAGATTTAAGAAGAAGAACAAAATCTTAACACCAAAAGAAATATCTCCAAACGATTAAAAAAAAAGTTTTTAGATTCTTTTGTGGCAATTTTTGTGTTAATTATCTTACCAATTTATTTTTC